GCCTGTGTTTAAAGAGTGTGAGTTAGAATACTTGAGACAACGTATACTGCAGAATCTTCGCAGGGAGCTTACATCTAGTGAGAGGAAAGAGATCTCATCTGTAGAGAATGTGGAGGAATTACAGATTTATAATTTTTATGATTTTCCAGTTGAGCTTGATACAGGGAGAATTCTGTCAAGACTGAGGAGGGAAGTGATCTAATCTATTGAGGACATGGGGAAACTATAATATCTGATCACTCATCTATTGAGGATATGGGGAATCTATAATATCTGATCACTCATCTATTGAGGATATGGGGAATCTATAATATCTGATTACTCATCTATTGAGGATATGGGGAATCTATAATATCTGATCACTCATCTATTGAGGATATGGGGAAACTATAATATCTGATCACTCATCTATTGAGGATATGGGGAATCTACAATATCTGATCACTCATCTATTGAGGATATGGGGGAATCTACAATATCTGATCACTCATCTATTGAGGATATGGGGAATCTACAATATCTGATCACTCATCTATTGAGGATATGGGGAATCTATAATATCTGATCACTCATCTATTGAGGATATGGGGAAACTATAATATCTGATCACTCATCTATTGAGGATATGGGGAAACTATAATATCTGATCACTCATCTATTGAGGATATGGGGAATCTATAATATCTGATCACTCATCTATTGAGGATATGGAGAAACTATAATAACTGATCACTCATCTATTGAGGATATGGGGAATCTATAATATCTGATCACTCATCTATTGAGGATATGGAGAAACTATAATATCTGATCACTCATCTATTGAGGATATGGGGAAACTATAATATCTGATCACTCATCTATTGAGGATATGGGGAAACTATAATATCTGATCACTCATCTATTGAGGATATGGGGAATCTACAATATCTGATCACTCATCTATTTAGGATATGGGGAAACTATAATATCCGATCACTCATCTATTGAGGATATGGGGAAACTATAATATCTGATCACTCATCTATTGAGGATATGGGGAAACTATAATAACTGATCACTCATCTATTGAGGATATGGGGAATCTATAATATCTGATCACTCATCTATTGAGGATATGGGGAAACTATAATATCTGATCACTCATCTATTGAGGATATAGGGAATCTATTATATCTGATCACTCATCTATTGAAGATATGGGGAATCTATAATATCTGATCACTCATCTATTGAGGATATGGGGAAACTATAATATCTGATCACTCATCTATTGAGGATATGGGGAATCTACAATATCTGATCACTCATCTATTTAGGATATGGGGAAACTATAATATCCGATCACTCATCTATTGAGGATATGGGGAAACTATAATATCTGATCACTCATCTATTGAGGATATGGGGAAACTATAATAACTGATCACTCATCTATTGAGGATATGGGGAATCTATAATATCTGATCACTCATCTATTGAGGATATGGGGAAACTATAATATCTGATCACTCATCTATTGAGGATATAGGGAATCTATTATATCTGATCACTCATCTATTGAAGATATGGGGAATCTATAATATCTGATCACTCATCTATTGAGGATATGGGGAAACTATAATATCTGATCACTCATCTATTGAGGATATGGGGAATCTACAATATCTGATCACTCATCTATTTAGGATATGGGGAAACTATAATATCCGATCACTCATCTATTGAGGATATGGGGAAACTATAATATCTGATCACTCATCTATTGAGGATATGGGGAAACTATAATAACTGATCACTCATCTATTGAGGATATGGGGAATCTATAATATCTGATCACTCATCTATTGAGGATATGGGGAAACTATAATATCTATCACTCATCTATTGAGGATATAGGGAATCTATTATATCTGATCACTCATCTATTGAAGATATGGGGAATCTATAATATCTGATCACTCATCTTATTCATCTGTGGTTGATAAAGAGATAAATCTGCCAAGACTGAACCCTGAGATAATCTCAATTGAATGTTATGACAGTTATTACTGGAGCAAAGCACAGAGGAGTCTGTTCTTGTGAGTATAAATCAATTTCTCTGTCTTTTCGTTCTCTTGTCTACGCTTATCTCTATAATATTTATGATATTTCAACATCAGATACCTTGATTTGTATAATAATGTCTTATCTCTAAAATATCAACTATTTATGATATTTCAACAATTAAAACATCAGATCTTAATCTTTTGCAATAAAGGTTGCTGTGGTATCAGTGATCTTACATCAAACACTATACCTATTGCTTTGTGTTCACAGCAAAGATATGACAGCAACTGAAAACTGTTTTCTGAATGTACATAACCCATCAAAACAATACAACAGATGCAAGTCAATGTAACCCCAACTTGTGTCATGGGGGCCGTTCTGCAATCTGGCAATGACCTGTTGATTTCTACAAGTGACATTTTCCAAATTCCACCCTATCCTTCTTGGGCCCACTTTTTTGTTTAAGGGGCCCAAAAAATGTTCTCAGACCTGAAATTTGCCCCCCCCCCCTGTTGATTCCCAGATTCCCCCTGTGCTAGTGTACCACACAGAAAATAAACAAGGCATTAATAGGCAAAATGTCACCACCTTCCAAATGCTGAGCACCAACCACTTAACACCATCTACATAAAAGTTGCGCTGGTGACATAAAAAATTATTTACAACATTATGCATTATCTGATCAAAATTTGTTCAAATGTCCATGTATTTCAGATTGAAGGGGATGAAAACAACCATGATATAACAACTGACAACTGATCTATGTCCTGTGTCTTCATTTTGTGCTTCAAGGCCATGGTAGTCTTATAACATAAGGGACCAGGTCAAACAATGAGAACAAGAAAAAATGCTTCAATTAAAACCCTTTGCCTTATTACCTTCATAAAAAATGGCATTTTGACATGGCCCCTTGTCTGAATTCTTATCTTTAACAGACTTGTAAATGCTATTATATATTGATTTGCAATGCACTAGTTTGTCTAGTTTAGTTAAGTACCAAATTTGACAGACTACGTGTAGTAATTATGATAAATTGAAAATGAGTGATAATTCTCTATCTGGGGGTCATTAACAGAAACTTTGTTAAAAATTTGTAAAGTCCATGTTCTCTTACTGTGACATCATTATATCCATGGTTACAACAATTGATTTAGGAATTCATAACTTTACGAAGTAACTGTTAATGACCCCTTGAATAATAAGGCTCTACCTCAATTTTCATGAAACAAAAAATGGAAATGGACTTCTTAAGTTTTGACAAATCCTCAAAAGTATCAAACTGTAGACAGTGAAAAAAGACTAGTATTTGTAAATACTCTTCATCTGAGGGTACAATGGCAAAATGAGCATAAACATTCCCCGCTATAATTTTGGGAACCTAGTCATCATTTGATAGTGTAAACCTGCTTATGTTTGGATCTTTATTTCTTTCCTTTATTACAAAGGTTTATGACATTGATAATTGTTTTTAAATTGCAAAATATTTATGTGGTCCAGAGGTGGACTTCAAGTTGCCAAACTTATGGAGGGAAGTGTCAAACTCTGTACAGGCTAATGTAAATAAATATAAATGTGCATATTTTTGTACACAAATGTTTTGAATGTTGTTTGTAATGATTGAGATTGGATCTGATTTAAATGAGTATCAGAGATAAAAAATGTAGCATCAGAGCAAGTTATGTTAAAAGATTTTGGTCAATAGGAGCCAGGACTCGTATAGATGGCAGTTAACTACATGTACATGTACTAGGTTGTTCTTCACATCTGGCCCATTGGTTTGTGTTTAAATACTGCTGTTTAACAACCTTCAAATTCTCTAAATATATCAAATAAATATCATACTTTCCTTCATTATTACATGTATTTACAAACATGTTTTAAGATTCCAAATCAAAAGTTTGGGATATTTTCAATAAAATTTATCTCAGGAAATTTTTGGAGCAATTTTTACATGTTAAAGTATGCTATTTAACCAACTGAATTTTTTGCCATCTATTGACAGCCCTGAGGCCATTCAAAGTGACATGAGGATGATAATGATATCAAATCAAACAACTATACTTGGAAACAGTGTCCACAATAACTAAATTGTAACATCTCACTTTTTAACCTCATACTACTGATACACAATACCATTGATGTGAGAGCCCTCTTTTTAACATTTTCAAAGCTCCTTTGTCATATTTTACAACTGAACAACTTATTGAATGCCTTGAATGAAATATCACACATTATTATTCAATGGGATCTCTTCAAAATTAGCACAATAAATTCTGCAGAAAAGTTGAGACAAGGTATTGAATTGTTTGAAAACAACCCATTCCTTTAAACTTAAAACGTCTTTTTAAGACTGGATTGTTTTAAAAGATGGCAGGCTATACTTACAAAATTTACAAACCTTTAAACCTTTTACTTTGTGAAACAGCCAATCACCTGCTTTATGCCTGGGTCACATTTGCTCCGATCTATCGGCCGGCGTCCAGCCGATTGAGTGTTTTGCTCAATATTGTATTCAATTTTGAACAAAATACTCAATTGGCCGGGCGCTGTAGTGAAAATCTGAGCAAATGTGACCAAGGCATTCAAGAGTTGATAATAATATGCCACTGTAATTGAAGTACACAAGTTTCAATTCATGGGTGTACCTGGGGGGGGGGGGTGCATTTCTTCTAATATAAAACATAACTTTTAACATAATGGGAGTTAGCTTCATTATATCCCTACAAAAATTTAAGGTGGGATATAAAAATAAACAAGATATTCACATGCAAAAGGTCACCACCTGCCATTTTTTACAGATGCTGAATGACAAACTCATAACACCATACTCCAATCACTGACTGCTCAATGTATGTTATAATTACAATGCTCTAACTATGTTATGTTTGTAACTATAACAGTATGTCACCACATCTGATGGTAGTGACATAATGAATGTATATATCACTTACCTGGCAGTAGCCGTTGATACACACTCCCCCCAAACATTTTGTGCCATCCTCGACTTTTTCAGCTAATTTGGCGAAGAAACTGTAACCTGTAGCCCTGCAGACTAATTTGCACTGACCCCTTGGACCTAGAATCAAATAATAGAGAGATTTTACTTAACATTTTAAGTTTAATATATTTGTAGCATGTTGAGAGAAGTACTAAGCAAAAGTTCAAGTCAAAAAAATAAACCAACAAGTTGGCCTATTTAGACTTAACTTCTAGCTTATAACTATAAGTACATGCTTTTAATACACTGCATCATTGATAGATGGATCTCGAATCAAATTGTTGATTGTTTCTTACTAAAAAAGAGGGCACTGAAGTTATTAAGGATCTCTTGAAAAGGGAAGAACTATGAGAACCCTGGAAAGAAAAAACATGAATATGATGTAAAATAACATTATTATGACAAGAATATGTTGTGAAATAACATGAATATGATGTAAAATAACATTATTATGACAAGAACATGTTGTGAAATAACATGAATATGATGTAAAATAACATTATTATGACAAGAATATGTTGTGAAATAACATGAATATGATGTAAAATAACATTATTATGACAAGAATATGTTGTGAAATAACATGAATATGATGTAAAATAACATTATTATGACAAGAATATGTTGTGAAATAACATGAATATGATGTAAAATAACATAATTATGACAAGAATATGTTGTGAAATAACATGAATATGATGTGAAATAACATGGATATGATGTAAAGTAACATAATTATGACAAGAATATGTTGTGAAATAACATGAATATGATGTGAAATAACATATGAATATGATGTAAAATAACATTATTATGACAAGAATATGTTGTGAAATAACAAGAATATGATGTAAAATAACATAATTATGACAAGAATATGTTGTGAAATAACATGAATATGATGTGAAATAACATGAATATGATGTAAAGTAACATAATTATGACAAGAATATGTTGTGAAATAACATGAATATGATGTAAAATAAATAACATAATTATGACAAGAATATGTTGTGAAATGACATGAATATGATATAAAATAACATAATTATGACAAGAATATGGTGTGAAATGACATGAATATGATGTAAAATAACATTATTATGACAAGAATATGTTGTAAAATGACATGAATATGATATAAAATAACATTATTATGACAAGAATATGTTGTGAAATAACATGAATATGATGTAAAATATTATAATTATGACAAGAATATGTTGTGAAATAACATGAATATGATGTAAAATAAATAACATAATTATGACAAGAATATATTGTGAAATGACATGAGTATGATATAAAATAACATAATTATGACAAGAATATGGTGTGAAATGACATGAATATGATGTAAAATAACATTATTATGACAAGAATATGTTGTAAAATGACATGAATATGATATAAAATAACATTATTATGACAAGAATATGTTGTGAAATAACATGAATATGATGTAAAATAACATAATTATGACAAGAATATGTTGTGAAATAACATGGATATGATGTAAAATAACATTATTATGACAAGAATATGTTGTAAAATGACATGAATATGATATAAAATAACATTATTATGACAAGAATATGTTGTGAAATAACATGAATATATTTTCTCATGCACATTCTTGAGAAAATGCAAACTGAATTACCATTTTGCATGAAAAACTTTAAAAACTTTCTCATCCATTAACATCCTGTAACATTACACCTTAGAGCTTCAGAACCAGAACTCATACTGTAATTCAGATTGTTATTCAGGTTAAGCTGCTACAAATTGCTACTTGCATTATCTCTAGTTAGAAATTTCTACTCAAATAATGTTATGTAATGCCTGGATTGATACCATACCTATTCTAATGAATCTCTAAGGCAATACACGTGGACTGCCTAACCATTTGATATTGTATCTCTCTTATATTAAGAGCAGAAGAAAACCTCGTTTTTGTCAGAAAAGACATTTGTCTCCCTCAGAAGAAGAGCTTGTTTTCCTCAGGTAAAAAAACTTCGAGAAAGGAACTTGTTTACTTGAGTGGAAAACTCTCCCCGAGGAGAGAAACTTGTCTCTTTCGAAAAATGTACTGATCTCCATTAGTAGAGAAACTTGACTCCTCCAACAGGGAACTTGTCTCCCTAAAAAGAGACATCTATCTCCTTTAGGAGTGAACTTGTCTCAAAGCTATCAATTTCTGTATGATGCATCACCACTTAACACATGTTAAGGCTGAATGTTGAATAAACATGTAGTACGACAATGGTTTACAAATAATGGGTTTTACTGTGACAATCAATGCATTTCTAATCAATGACTAGATTTTCAAACAATGAGTTTAACAAACAATGGAATTTACAAACAACAAGCATTCAAGCTGCAAGCAACGATATTAAGACCAGACCACCATGAAAAAGTAAAAAAGATAAACACAGTAGAGTGAACTTCCAATTGACCTGCTATAGCATTGAAAATGACACACACAGAATACAACTCCCAAAAGTTAAGTCCATAAATAAAGTTTTTATTCAGCTTCAGTCCCTTTTAAATTACAATCTTTCTATTCAGTAAGTAATCTTAATTCACATTTCATAAAACCAGAACAGATAAGTGACAACCTAATGTTTTGTAAAAAATCTATTACAGTATCTCAGCATGACCGTTTTATACCTAATAGTATCACATGTTCAAATGACATGGAGGTCGTGTTTTAAAATGAGAATGGGGAAAAGGAAGGTGATAAAGTAAATAGACATCCTGTAGTTAACACTCTAAATTGTATAGAAATGCAAAGAAACCAAACAGTTTTTTTTAATTTTATAGAGATGAATGAAATAAGCAAGGAATAATGTAAACAGGCATGTAGTTAATACTCTAAATTGTATAGAAATGTTAAAAAATCAGACACTTCATTCAAATTTTAGAGAGAAATGGAGTGAAAAAAGTATGGATAGGAATTTGTCGTGCACGGTTTGACATCTGTAATATGGACAAGGGCGTAAAAAGTGAAGTGATAAAAACTGCTCATAAGCAAACAAAAAATTGCAGGGGTATTATCCTGAAGTGGTTTCAAAAAGGAAATTGAATTCACTGTAATAACTGTATTTAGTTTTTTAGTATAAAAATGAATTACATTTTTTGGGACGTTTTTATCCCCACCTGATGCTAAATTTTGTCCCCTTTTTGCACCCTTGCTTACATATTTTGATTTATATGAAATCCAAGGGTGATTTATATTATATTTTTGGACAATTGTATTAAATCCCACATATGGGTAAGTTGCGCGACCATATTTTTTTAAACTACCCCCCTCCCCTTGGCAAAATCTGGTTTACTGCTCTGGGCTGACTAACAACATTGAAAATAAAAAAATTATTGAATTATTAACAAGCACATGTATTTAGAATTGACCAAGTACTTATTAAAAGCAAGAATTCTGACACATCATCACAGCAACTTTTCATTGAATTCTATGTCTCATTTATTAGTGATTTCTACAGGATTTTATCTCAAATTCTCATTTTCACAATTCAGACCAAAATTGGTCGAAATATCCCCATTTTCATGATTTTGCTCATTTTCAAGTGGGTGCAAATGACATTCAGGTGGGTGCAAGCCTATTATCAAAATCTCAGGTGGGTGCGGTGCCCACTTGCTTTAACTCTGGGGAGATCACTGGATATGTATTAAAATATTATCTTATATCATTCTTTTTTTGAGTTGAAGAGGAATAAGATTAATGATTGACATATGCTTTAGTAATATTTCCTTTATTCAAACAATATATATCAAAATCTCAGGTGGGTGCGGTGCCCACTTGTTTCAAAGCTGGGAAGATCACTGCATATGTATTGAAATATTAATGATCGACATAAGTTTTAGTAATATTTTCTATATTCAAACAATACATACACTAATGGAAAAGATGAGTAATGAATAAATAAAACTTTTTTTATGATCCTTGATGATGATTAAAGTGCAATTTTGGCGGCTGTTCTGTTATTCATCATTAAATGCATCACGAGGATTGGGTTTACACTCCCCTCCATTAGTTTGGCAACCGAAAGTTTTCACTGGACAGCATATCATTGGACAGCATACCATTGGACAGCATACCATTGGACAGCATACCATTGGACAGCATATCATTGGACAGCATACCATTGGACAGCATACCATTGGACAGCATATCATTGGACAGCATACCATTGGACAGCATACCATTGGACAGCATATCATTGGACAGCATATCAAAGCCTGTCAATGTTTTCTTCTTAATTTTGTTTCTTATTCCAATAGTTTGGTAATCAATAAAAAATTTAATGACCTTTTTATGTCATTAAACATAAACAGAAACAGACTTTATTTGGACTTATTTGGATTTTGGCGTATTTGGACTTTGGTAAGAGATCAAAAAGAGGGACTTCCAGTTGCCAAACATATGGAGGGGAGTGTACTTGCACATACTGGATATAGTTCTGAATTAAATATATGAGGCCTGATACCAATATATACTGCAGATGAAAGCAGACACTGTAAGGACAAGTGTCCTCTGGGCACATAAGTTAAACCTTTATAATGATGGCATCAACTATAAGTTATTTAAAAGAGAAAGAATCTGATATTGTTGTGTGTAAAACAGATACTGTTGATACCAAAAATGAAGTGAGATGATGAGTGCAGGTGAAACTATAGAAGGCAGCCAGTAGACAATTAGAATGGATAACGCTGATGCCAAAGATCTTGCAGGTTTAAATACTAAAGGCGGTCAATGTACAAGTACGGATGTTGTTGATGCTGAAGACAGTGCAGATAAATCTGGACAAGAAAGCATTCCTACAACAGAGACACAATCTTGTGGAAAAATTGCTGACTGTAATAAAATAATTGTGGAAGCTATTGTGCATCAAAAGTTGGATAGTGATGAACATTATAATGATGATGAACATTATAATGATGATGAACATTATACAACAGAAAGTTCATATAGTAGTGTTAAAGACAAAAGTAGGGAATGTAAAAAAGAAATAAAAACACATGGCAAGGCTTCTGATTGCATTGAGGTCACTGTGAAAGAGATTGTCCACCAACTGAATGAAGTTGAACAGCAAATTGAAATTGAGGGTATAAAAGCAAATGAACATGACAATGATATGTCAGACAATTTGAACACACAACCAGAAACTCAATGTATTGATGGTAAAGTATACCAAGATAATGCCAACAACATAGAGATAGAACTAATTGAGGAGATAAATCATGAGGACGCAGATGGCCCTATAAACTCGGAAGTGCTAATTGAACAGACAGATGATGCTAGTCATACTGACAATCAAACTGAAAAAGAATCATTGAAGGTCCAGATTACATCTACTTTGGCTAAATTCTCGAACATCACATCAATACATGGACCAAAAAGAATACTGAAGGCATATGGTAGATCCAGAGTTGGATGGACACTTGTGTTCATTGGTGTGGTGAGTCTAGCGGTGTTTCTCATAGCAGGTGTGATAACAAAGTACTATTCCTACCCTGTAGAGGATGGTATATCGATCACAACCAAACCATTGGCCTTCCCATCAGTGACACTATGTCCTTTTATACCATACGATGAAAGCCTTATACAACATGAATTTAAAAATATGGGAACAGATGTGATTACAGCAGTAATGTATGAATTACTTAAAAAAGGAGTTCCAACGGAAGTATTCTTCCAGCCAATTGTAAATGAACCATTGATAGAACAAGTAAATTTTGCAAGGTACAAATTATTATCCTGGCTATACGAAAAACTGGAACCAGCCTATAGGTGGCAAGTTGAGAACATACCTCTAAATTATGTCAACATCTCTAGCAAGCCTATAAAACAAGAAGATTTCATTCTAGAATGTACATTCAATGAAAAGTCATGTAACGAACAGTTCAATGTTAAAAGAACGCGAACTGTTTTTGGTCAATGTTTCACATTAACCATTAACGAATCAGCTGGAACAGTCTATGAAATTGGACCAAACAAAGGAGTTACGTTAATATTGTATACAGGGCGATACAATCCCATCTACACCAAATATCAACCTTTCACTTCGACTGTATCCCAAAAAGGGATTACACATGCATATAGTTATCCTATTGACGGTGTTCAAGTAGTTATTCACAACCAAGGGGAACTGTCGCAACCTTACAGAGAAGGTTTCCATGTTACACCAGGTAGGTTTGCATCAGTAAAGATAACCAAAAGTTTGCGTACCCGACTACTACCACCATATGGACAATGCACTAATCAAAAATATTCAATGAACTCAGAATTTAGATATTCATATGAGGTGTGCATGGAGCAGTGCATACAAGAAAGAATCATCAAAGAATGTGGCTGTGTCTCACCCATGTACATAATTCCAGCAAATCATAACTTCAGTCAAATACAATATTGCGGGAACATATCCAAGGCAGTAGCAATAGCCGCAGCAGTAATATTCATACCAATGTCAGCGGAGTACTCAAATTACAGTTTATCATTTTTGAACCAAATGCTGCAAAAAAATGTGCAAAAATTCACTAGACTAGCAAACGACATAATCAAAAATCTTAAATGTGAAAAGCATTGGTCAGGGAACAGCAAGGAGTCTTGTCATTGCAAGAGACCTTGCAAGGAACATACCTATGCACATCTTATCAACACAATACCATGGCCAGAAAAGAGTGTCATAAACAAAGGAGGACAAAGAGGGTTCCGCAAGTTTTATCAGACAAACAAGAATGTTAGACGACTTTTACAGAAATTGACCACAGCAGATTCATTGGAAAATGCTCTCAAAAGTTACTTACATATTTTACATCAACATCCACAATACAATATGGAATCCGTTATTGACACAATAGTAAAAACAAATTTCATGAAATTAAATATTCATCTTGAATCTCTTGATGTGAGAACTGTTTACGAGGAAAGGACCTACACATATGAAAATGTAATGAAGGACATAGGTAATGTGTTTGGATTCTACCTGGGGATGTCTGCAGTTTCTGTTGTAGAAGGTGTATATATCATTGGTATGATAATCAAACTGATCATATTCAGAATACTTTGTAAACACAATTGACTTTTCCTTAAGAGAGCTGAAAAGATTGTATACACTAGAGATTCACTTGTTAATGATATAGTCAAGACAAATTTCATGAAATTAAATATTCATCTTGAATCTCTTGATGTGAGAACTGTTTACGAGGAAAGGACCTACACATATGAAAATGTAATGAAGGACATAGGTAATGTGTTTGGATTCTACCTGGGGATGTCTGCAGTTTCTGTTGTAGAAGGTGTATATATCATTGGTATGATAATCAAACTGATCATATTCAGAATACTTTGTAAACACAATTGACTTTTCCTTAAGAGAGCTGAAAAGATTGTATACACTAGAGATTCACTTGTTAATGATATAGTCAAGACAAATTTCATGAAATTAAATATTCATCTTGAATCTCTTGATGTGAGAACTGTTTACGAGGAAAGGACCTACACATATGAAAATGTAATGAAGGACATAGGTAATGTGTTTGGGTTCTACCTGGGGATGTCTGCAGTTTCTGTTGTAGAAGGTGTATATATCATTGGTATGATAATCAAACTGATCATATTCAGAATACTTTGTAAACACAATTGACTTTTCCTTAAGAGAGCTGAAAAGATTGTATACACTAGAGATTCACTTGTTAATGATATAGTCAAGACAAATTTCATGAAATTAAATATTCATCTTGAATCTCTTGATGTGAGAACTGTTTACGAGGAAAGGACCTACACATATGAAAATGTAATGAAGGACATAGGTAATGTGTTTGGCTTCTACTTGGGGATGTCTGCAGTTTCTGTTGCAGAAGGTGTATATATCATTGGTATGATAATCAAACCGATCATATTCAGAATAATACATCAATAAAATTGATTAATATATATCATATCATATATCATATCAATATTTATGTCAAGTCATATATTTTTCGTACAATAAACATTAGCGCAAGCACTACTGACCAAAAACATAGACTACATATGTTTCTATAAAATCATAGACTACTCGTCATAAAATAGTGCAGCGGTTGATGCAACCAGAACCAACATGCTGCTAATGTACAGTAAATTTTTAAATGTTTGTAAGTACTTTGAATTTAAAAACAAGCAATCAAAGGACCATATATATTGAAACAGTAGATCTGTATGCAAAAATAGAAATATTTACGCATGTCCTAACTTTTGTATATTTTATTTTGTTTTGTAGTTTAGCTATCATATCTGTGGCCTCCTATATTTTGATGCTTCACTGCTATGTTATTTTCGAAAAAATTAACATGGCTGAAACTCCCTAAATAACAGAAGGCCAAAGCTTTGCTGCACATTATAGATACTAGAAAGGCTTTATACGTTTATATACCTTTATACCAATAGTTCTGGAAGAAGGATGTTTCCTATATGATCCAGATCTTTTTGTGTTGTTGTGTCTTACTAATTAAGTAGGGGGGGTAAACGAGATTTAGCCAGTGACGTCAGTCTATTTGTAAACAAATAACATGTGGAGCGGACGGAGCAACATTACGGAAGCGTATTGATAAATTCCATTTGTGCGGGAATTTATTAGATCTAGTCATTTATTATCATTATCCCGATTAATTTTCGTCATTTATAGTAAATAGAGCGGATATATTCATGAAGAAGGCCGAGGTAATCAAGTGGTCATGTGTTGTCAAAGTTCAAAAATTTGCATATCTCGTTTGGATCTCGTGAACTCAAACGTCCTTGACATTGATTTCGCGATCTACTTATGAACACATCCTGAAGTTTTGGTGAGTCTGAACATTTCATTATTTTATATCAACTTGTACCCGCCTTATACAAATATTTTTGCTTCTAGTTTAAGATGAACATCTCTTCAACATATTCACCAATTTTCAAGGTGAACATTCTTGTAATAAACGAGAAATTTATGTGCAAAAAATATCACCGCGATTTCCACAGGAAATATATCAATCATAACAGACCGAATATTATATTCGGTCTGTTGGATACATACTACTCACTGGACATGGGTTTAGAGAATCAGCTATGGTAGTGGTACATCTGGCTTGCTAGATGTCTGTCTATTTCATTCTTGAACTGGTTGATACTTTCCACATCAATGGCAGACTGGGGTAAACTGTTCCAGGTGTTGACAATTCTATTACCAAGGACATTTTTTCTCACATCAATGATCAAGTCTGCTGTATCATTGACTTGTACATAATATATATGTTTCTATTAAATCAGTTAATATGGATAACACTGTGCTATATTGTTAAATGAAACATACCTTCATGTATATAGTATCCGAATTTGAACTCGCTCCCCCCTTGGATAAAGACTGTTAACGACTATTTTGTGTGAAAGTTAAAATTTTTACTTTTATACTTCCGCCGGATTACGTTACACAGAACGAAAAGTACAGATCTATTACGATAATCCCCGGGGATTATGAGCTCACCTGGTGGTTTTCCTCGTTCGTAAGGTTCCCAAGCTTTTATCCTACGCCCCATATATAGTTTGTTGTTAAACTCTTGACATTGAGATGCTCTTGAAGACAAGTCCCCGGGACATGCCTGCAAATACATTCAAAATCGAATATTCCAAACCGTCCGAATCTTAGTCAGAGAGTTGTCGGAGAGTGAAGAGTTTAGATCTAGCGAAAAACTATTCTTACTTTGAGTGTCATTTCAAAGACGACTCATTTGATGAATCCAAAATTGTAAAAGTCAAATTGGCTAGACCTACCGAGGCTACACATTTTTGGTTGCAGAATTATGAAAGAACCTTAAGGGAATAGCCTACTAAACCAATTGTGATTTTATTCCAAGGAACAAGATAAGGTTAACCAGAAATATAAAAAACATTATATGTGTCTCTGGTGTAACATATTTATTTTGAAAACAAAAAACCAAATATCGCACATTAACAATTAACAAAAATAAACAAAAACTAGCCTGTTTTTCGCATGTTCTGTATTCTTTGTACATGCCGACACAATTCGATTTCATCTTGCGTCTATGGGATTTGCCTAAACCGCGTTGTCTCCTATGCCTTCCATGTTGCACCATTCTAAAAGATATTCTGGAATTTTAGTAATTTCATTTGTGCACATATACGCTTTATAAATAAATACGGAGTAATTAAGGTATATACCGTTTTGTCCATATTTGGACATATAATTGTTCAGCTTCCCCGATTCGCGGGAATTCGGCGATACATGTATAGAAAGTTATATTAGGAAGTAACATTTTTCTGTAATGCTGTACGATGTTATTCTCGTTCATCATGTGTCTCTTTAAATATGAAATGACAAATATATGATATCAAAAGTATCTCAGCATACAGCTTCAAAAATTACTTCATTTTAGTTCGTATACGTCCTAGACCAAGAGGAGGAAATGACCCATGATTCAAACATGAACCCATCTACTTGTAAAGTTAAATCTAAAGATAAATATTTACATGAAGATGTGTTCATGTTTGAATTCTGGGTTCTTCTCCCTCTTCCTAGACCTTAGCAAGTTCCCTTACTTCGTAATTCGCTACGCTTACTGTACTATTTTCTTACCCTTTGGGATACTTGCACTCACGGACCCTGTACATGATGCCGTTGCCACACTGTCTCGAACAGCCGCCCCAACCGCCCCAGGGGCCCCACTCCATCTGTAGGCTTCCATCATTAGCCTGAAAGATAAGCAATACGTAGCCATATACTATTATATACTAGTATAAAAATATATATAGATCGGCACTTTAACCCGACCTCGCCAAAATGTTACGGAAAATATTAATGCAATAATACAGACATTTTTCAATTGAAACCATAGAGATAAAGTTAAATATAATGATAGTATTATGTTGCCTAAAATTCATATATTCAAATTTGCTACACCCCTAGACTTGGGTTCTCATTTCATTTTATTACCATTTAATTCCTTTTATTTTAATACACCAGAATAAACCATTAGCAAATTATATAGGACGTTAACGTTTTTATTAGCATAATTATAGGAGTGCGATGTTTTATTACAGGCGTATTTTGTATATTGTATGCATTCTGTAAGTAATTGCACTGCTTTTGAAGTTGTCATGACATCCATTGCTAGATCAAATATTCATTTGAGATTTGTCGGTACATGTACAAGATGCGCCATTGCTTATTGAATGTTGATCATTTTATGAATTAAAATATATACTTCATTAAATATTTACTTCATTAAACCTTTTGAATTTTAAACTTACAATTGTACGTATTTTATTCGAATGGAAACGGTGAATCGTTTTATCGGGCCTTTCAATGTGGCCGGTGCGAAAGAAATTATGGTACCCCGGGGATTATGGTCCCCTTTCTCAACGGCCCTTACTGGCCCTGATTGTGTATAAGATACGATAAGGGAAAGAGGTTACCATATTTATCAATGAATAGTAGGACCTCTTACCCTTTTAAATCGGCTTATCATACCGATATACCTGGTCTTTTATTAACCTTAGCCCAGGTCTTATAGTTGAGTCTGTATGTTGGTTTGAAATAATCTTGCTATGTTGGACCCTTTAATACATGCACGCTGATTTATTACTGAATCTGTTTGCTCTATCAGAGGCTTTAACAGCCTAGACGTGGCAGGTTCATATTTAAAGTTTGATAGACAGATTTATCACTCAGAGATCGAGCCTGTCCATCAGTGCCAGCTTTATTATGCATGTTCTGTTACGTTGAAATTATGGTATTATAAATGTTTTTGTCGAACCATGATCTTTATCTTAGGTAGACCTGCTTTTTACGCGTAAATTATTACCGAACTTAGTCTGTTAATTTGGCTTGAGGGTTTCAGCATTTGTCAAAACTGTAAAATACCATTTTGAACTAAATTTATCAAAAATAAAAGTAAAACATTACCGATCCAATCGAGTGTCGTGATGTGAAATTTTTGGAGGAAAGTGTATATTTGTCTGACTACCCTTTGCTTCGTTTGACTTATTAGCTTCTTAAAAGTGCAACAAGTAGTGCAAGGGGGGGGGGCATTCAATGATCATCGAAAAAATAAAAATTTTCGAATTTTCTCTCTACAGTCCTTGTTGCCCCTTTAAATAGTAACTTCCTCTTCTAACAGCTTCTAATCTCAGTTTAGTGTCTAACAATTTTGTCACCTACATAACTGACATCTCGAAATCGAATGGAATAAGCAGCCAGGGATCCCCTATTTATTATTCTACCCGCACGTTGCCCTTCCAAATATAAAATTCACAGGTGTACGAGTATGTCAAGGTGAGGCATCGTCGCCTCACACCAGGGGCGGACCTGGGAACCAACAAGGGGGGGGGCCCAAACTTCTTGTCTGAGAAAAAAAGTTCCGCGCTTGCGCGGAAAAAAATTTTGGGCCCCAAAAACCCAAAAGTGGGCCCAAATTTTGAAATTTAGAGGCCCATTTTCTTCAAAATTTAGCCTAAAATTAAAAAACAAGGCCTTAGAAGGCCAATTTTTGACCAAAAAGGCCTACTTTTTGGGGCCTTAGGGCCTTTTTTGGCTCAAATTTTTTTTTGGGCACAATTTTTTTTTTCTGGGCCCACCCAAGGGGGTCCCCCCCAGATCCGCCAGTGCACACTGAGTCTAGAGGCAACTGAAACATTGAGAATTTTAATCGAGATGAGGGCGAGGCTCTTCCAAATTATTACACGAGATATTACACGAACAATATTTCACTATATTTTCTCAATAGAATACTGATTTATGTGCAGTATGATTGTCGGACATCTGTAAAATATTATATTTCGAATCCCTTTTCCATTCACTGTATTTGTGGCATATCCGCCACAAGATGGGTTGTATGGGTTAGGGGGGGGATTCAAGACGTGCCAGATTAAGCAATTAACCAATACGCGTACCAAGAAACCCTCTCAAACTAATTAATCATTTAATTAATGACTATTCAATTACGATACTTTTTACAATAAAATGTATGATGCAAATCCATAGGTGGGAAACAATAAATTCAGTGTTAAGCCCGAGATCTTCTGGTCCCTGTGTGAAAGAAATTATGGCCTCCCGGCCCGGTTCCCTCTATTCTAAATGTATATACAGGTACGTCTTCAAATACCAAGCACGAATCATTTTCTGCAAGGGTCACGATTTCGATAATCGCAGGATTATGGAAATAATTAGTGGCCAATAATCTCCGAGCATACCTGTATATTGACTATTGCATTTCTACACTTTGGTTATGTCTAATTATTTCCATTTTCTCGATCTTATTGATCAAAGAATTTCTTGATCAGGGATACATGTATACATAACACATTATGTACAGTTCTATTATTCCACGATTGTAAACTTGTATTATTTCATGCACAATCTTATCATTCCAAGTAAATTCTTCAGGTTGGCTAATCTTCATTGCACCAACGCGTAACTTCGGCCTTCGGACTATTTTTGAAACAGAGAGGAAATGATTAATAGGAGCCGGAACAGATGATCAATAAATAATAATAGGTATTTCTCTAGTGAGTTGGTATAATTTAAATATTTCCTAGTCATTTTCCCCTTTTTGGGTTTGTGCCATTCTGATTTCACAGACCACTGACTTATCTACCCACAGCTACCCGGCCGGTGTTTTATCAGTGAGAGTTTTAGACACCACAATGAACCATACAAGAGTGGTATTGATTGGTCAGGATTGAGTTAACGATGGGTTTGGATGACTTGGGTTGAGTTGACTAATGGTTTGGATGACTTAGGTTGAGTTAAGCAATTAAGGGCTTCAATGACTTGGGTTGTGTGAATCAAGAGTTTAGATGACTTGGGTTCAGTTGACCAAGGGTTTAGATGACTTGGGTATAACAACGGGAGAGGAGAAATCCATTTCGGTGCATCGCAAACGCAAAGGCTTAGGTAAAGACTAATTAGTGAAAAATATATTGCTTTTAGAATTATTGTCCTGGTATCGAAAGGTACCTTTTCAAGTAGGGGTGGAACTTTCAAGAGTAAGCTATTTACACTCTGTGATTGATCTTTCGTGCTATTAGTATAGTTTTGTAGCTTTTCAATAAGATACTCTTTGAAGTTGTTATAAGTACTTATGTAATGGACTTGACTTCCTAAATAAAATCAACTAGGCTAACCTAAAGAAGTTAAGCACATACAGGGTACTTTAATTGGCTTGTGACCCTTAGAAACGCAAAGGGGTGTAAGTGTATTGACCCACAGGGTAAAATTGTTATCATTCTGTGAATTTCGAATTGTTTCAAATATGGGTTGTCAGTAGCCGTACCAGCGTACGTTGATATCTGAATGCATGTGATAGGCAAGAGATCACTATTATAATCGGAGGGCCCGTATCAAAAGGGGTACTCAGAAAAGCTCTCAGTATTTTACGTATGGAATATTGTAACAAGAACAAAAACGTTCTTATATAGTCTTCCCATTTATATTTTCAAAAGAAAAAAAAACAGAATACAAAAGAGAAAAAACGGGAGGGGACATATACTTTATGCAGGACTCCTGAAAATCCAATACTCATCAGCGCCTTTCTTTGTCGGCCTATCAAAGATGGAAAATGCTTGGTTTACCACAATTTTGATAAGGTAACCTACAAACATCTTTTCGCAATCATTTTTAGATAAATATTTTGTCATGTCCTTTAACATATCCCATACTCTAGATAAGATGTTTTATATTTCCTCTAGAGATGCTCGGGATGACACTCTGGAACCAAAAACTCATAATTGTCGTCTGCTTTAATATTTCCCGCATTTTCTCACTAAAATTTGAATGAGCTGGTTAATTTTCTTACATTTCTGTACTATTTCAAGGGTTGCTTAAATGACTATGTACATTATTTCTTGTCAAATCCTCGCATTTTTACTCCAGTTGCATTTGAAAACGCGGACACGGTGATATTTTGGTATAAAACATACCTTTGCATTTGGTAACCACATCTGTAGGGCCATGACAACAAGGAGGATGGACATTCTGGAAATACAATAAAAATAAATTAAAACACTCAATCAAAAACACCTCATACGTGTAACAATTTACAAATCCAAATAATTAACAACATTCAAACGATCTTATTAATCAAAACAAACTACAAAATAAAAATAATCAATACAATCCCCACACAATCAAATCAAATTAACTGATACAGATAGTTGGAATAACACACAATCAACGCAATCCCCATGGAATCACAATCTAGCACAATCGGCACAATAATTGCACAAACAGGAACCAAAACACAATATATAGTCATGATATAGCATAGAACTGGCACCGTAAAAATGAAAAGTAGCACAATTCTAGTTGCAACAAGAAGAAGCCTTCTAAACTTCAATAGAGCATAATAGACGGTCGCAACTACAAATTCCAAATATGGAAATTTGGCAGACGATTGTAAGGTCAACGTGACATTCTACGATATAACATTTATTCTGTTAATATTTGTATAATAAATCAATGAGCATATCAAAATGGGTATGGTATTACCCTCAAGGGTGTTTTGTTTCCATTTTATTCCTTGTCAAAATAATAAACCGATCACTGTAGCCCAGGAATGTTGTTTAACCCCTTGAATACCAGGTGCGATAAAAACTCTCAGACATTTTTGGAAAAAATGTTCGATCTAATGAACACTTTGTTGAAGAATATGAAATTGGTATTGTCTATTTTTACTTGTTTAACCTTGAAAATGACAATCCATATGTAGGTTGTGTATAGTAAAATGGAAAAAATGGTAAATTTGAAAAGTGCTCTAGTATCCAAGGGGTTAAAGAAGTGAGTGACAGTTTTATATATGTTACGGCTTATATTGTACCATGGAGACACAACATAACATAACATGTGTTAGGGGGCAGTCCTTTCAATGATATTTAGGGAGTATACAGGTACAAGTCAATCAGTGTTTTTATTTGGTCGATCAGGATTATATAAACAATAAAAACTTTGATAAATGTCGTCTGCTTTTGTTTATCCCCGGATTTCTCCTTACAAATTGAAAGAAGTTTCCCATGTTTTGATTTTTCTTTGCAATTTAGAGTATGGATATATTTCCTATTAATTTTATATTTGACCAATTACACTATTTTCCACTTATTTCCGCATTTTAAATCATGACCCAAGGAATTCGATCAACAGGTCCTTGGTGAACACAAAGAAGCAATGGCGGAAGTAATTGATGCAGTACATCATGGTGAATTAAACTCCTTCAAGGACGTCCACACGCATTAGACTCGATAATCGAAATTCATAAATTCTAATTAATTTTCAATATTTCCCTCATTCTTCAAGGTGTTTATTTCATAAAGGTAAACACACTTTTTAATCAGATATAGATTAGATATTTGTTGGTTTTGGACGGTTCAACTAATAAATGATATATCATATTCACAGCCGAACTAATAAAGTTACACCCCGCCGGTTGAAGCTCATCGAAACTAAAATTGAGCGATTCAGATAGTTCAGGAGACGATGGCATTTTAATAACGATCTATCAAACACTCGTTTTGTTATCATTATTTCGTGAAATTAATCATAGTTAGGCAAAATGGTCGGGAGTAGCTAGGCGGGCGACGAGGACTATGTCAAGAGACGTTCTTTAATGTAAGAAAGCATACTTAACCATTACCCCAAAGGCCAAAAGGTAAATTTCTAGACGAAGCCCTAGATGCAAAATCTAACTCATTACAATAGTTCATTACCTTGGATCATAGGCAGAAACAGTTTATCCGAACACCTCTCTATCTAAACACCTTTCAATGAGAACACTTTTTCGATGGCATTTTTAATCCTGCAAAGATCACCATGTAAAAAAGCTCAAAATGTGAGCACTTGCCAAACCGAACATTTTTGGTCGGTCCCAATGACTTTCGAATTAAGTTTTATGTTAGTTTTAATGTTATCAATGGTGAATGCAAACATGTAGCATGTCTGGGGGAGAGATATGCAAAGTGCTGCAAATGGTTGTAACTTTTTGGTAACATTGATAAAAATAAATCCACCAGGATCATTTAATAAAGAAAGTACTGTTCGAGACCATGTACATAGTGGGGGGGGGGGTCACAGTGGCTTGTAGTTGGACTAGTTTAAAAGCAGTTTGATCATGAACTTGAAAACATTTTTTAATGATATGGTTGCTACGGTTCGTGAGTTAAGTGGCCAATCGCCTTAATGATCACGCCTGTACTGAAAATAGCTATCAACTCTCAACTATACTCCAATTCTCTCAAAAGTTTGAATCAAGTTCTCGATTTTCTAGAATTTCCATAAATTTGAGATCAATAATAACAAACGTATTCACCTAATTCATGCCTTGTAAATTAACTACTATTTCAAGTTTCTGAACGTATAATCGACGAGACGAGATATTCCATCAATAGGATAATGTCGTAATTTATCACGAGATAACCGAACGTGTTTATAATATTCCCATCATAAAAAGTGCGAACAACTCATTTCTCTACTCTAGCAGGTGAAGTACCCACTTCAGCGTTTATTGCAACGTTATAACCGAATTGAAATGAATTGAGAGTCGTTTGACATAACCTAGCAATCGAATGTGGTAATGATTAGGTAGATATTCAGTAGCTATTTAAATGTAAAGTGTAGATGTTAACACAACGCAAAACTGATAGAATGAAATTGATAAGTAAATGCCGCAACCCCTTTAACCCCAGACTGGCATTGAAATAGCAACCCTGCAAGCTTGTAGTGAAGCTAACTTAAACTACTTTTTCCAAAGGGTATATTACTGCATTTTCTGTGAGTCGTATATTCAGAAATTACGCTCAAATTGATTTGTACATGTTATAAATGCCACGAATTTCTGTCTTGGGTCGTCCAGTAGCCCCTGGTACCATATACATTTTAATCTGCAATACTTGACCCAGATCTGGGCCAACTGCAAGAGCATTTATTCTTTAACAATATTTCTGAAAACAGCAATTGCCTGATCAGGATATTTAGTCTATTTACCGTTCCAAAACATATTTTCTCTTTTATATCCAGACCCATCTTGATCAAGTCTGTGTTAAAATAGACCAGGGCTTCTCCACAGGTGGAACAGGGATTCAAAAATAGGCAAAGTAAATTTAAAGAGATGATGAAAAACGCTAGCGGAATATCATACATCCATGGTAAATAATTTCTAGATTTTTGAGAGAAAAAAATTCGAAATGATTTTTTATAAAAAAAGGTTTTGTGTTATCAAATAACAAAGCATACGATCGTAACTTCAGTTTTATTGATAATGTATACGGTGTACCTGATGCCGTCAAAATTGAAGAAATACCTAGATGGATCAAAATGTGGTAATAAGCAAGCATGTTGCTTCACACCAGGGACAGAATGGTAACAGTTGTTAAATATTCTAAATATGAGCTAGATTACATTTGGAATGACGGGGCTTTTGTTTCCTCAAATGTTCCTTAAATACGTTATTATAGTCTCTAGCTTTTTTGTGAGCTGTGTCCGGCTGCTGGTTTTTGGCGATTTGCGCCCGAAAAAATGGCGTTCGGTGACCGGCGTCTGTAACAAATGTCAGGTGGTGGTATTTTGGATGTCAATACCTTGTCAAACTGCGTTATATGTATACATTCTTTTAATTAAAGTTTCTCCCGTCATCATCATTGATCAGTCATCTTATGTACGAGCATCTGGCCCTCCATTCTATGATGCTGTATTATGCTAAGGGCATAAATGACTTCCTATTACGTAACTGTGACGTCGATTTATCCTCACTTACCGATGTTTCTATACTTAGATTTGTATTATAGTCTCTTGTAAATAGCAAATCCATTTCCATGGTCAGTAATAATTTGTAGCTCATTTGCAATTGTTCATTTCATAGAAAAAATGGGAATAAGCGAGGCACGTCATTAGACTCTTAATTGTATATAGAAATGCAAAAAATCAGACATTTCATTCAAATTTTAGAGAGAAATAAACTGGAATAAGCATGAGCGGACGGACATTTAATACAAGTATTTTTTCTTTGTAAAATGACACGTTGGTAATATCTTATCATCTGACTACCTTTAATTCTTATTCCAAATCACTTTTTCAAGTTAGTCATTAACAGAAAAGAAGTTGTAATTCAGAGATCATTATGATTAAAGATCATTGGAGGCGAATTCAGGATCAAGATCAGAGTCTGTCATTTCAAATTGCCAAAATACTTATCAAAATCAAACCCTACGAACAATTTGAAACATGAAATTTAGACTAGGAGTTACACTTTTGCAACATGTATTTTTCTAATGTACAAGAAAGTTTTCGGTAAATATATTGACAGCAAGGGCAGAGTCCAGATGGTCAGAAGAACAGCTGTTTACACTTTGTTCCATTGCTACAAGCCTATGGAACCCCTCAAATCAATATTGCATCGTTTTACGAAAAAAACTAAAGAAAAATGCAAACAAAGCAAGGAGTGAACCCAAACAATGCAGAAGGGTAGAAAAAGAAGATTTCATAAAATTCGACATTTTGTTGAATGTCGGAAAATAAAAAGTTATTACTACAGTTCTGGAATTTTTGGACAGGACGGACAATTATAACACCATGAATGCGGTAATGTCTATTTTAGAATGTTTTACCTGGGGAGGCCACAAGATTTTTCGAATTACAAGAAGGCTCGAGAGGTTTTGAAGAGGTTGGGAAGGAGGTGTTTATTAGCGGTAGTACAAATATTCGTGAGTTTCTGCTATTCAAGGATGGATGAATGTAAGCGTATCGATCTACAGCCAAGTCATAGCAACACCTGACCAACATGTAAAGGTTCCGTCCTGATAAGTCTCCTCAGTTGCCCCGTCGCTCTTGTTCCAAAAATCACTCTCATGTACACACTGAGCTAGCATTCGCGATTTCAACCGCGGCTGTCGACTGACGATTTAATCCTCTATTTTATGGCCAACTCATTTAAATGTGATTAGTATGCGCTACTTTACATATTCATATTTAATGAATAGTATGTGCTCCTATT